CAGTCTCCAGATGTGGCCTCACCAGGGCTGAGTAGAGGGGGATGATCACCTATAGCATCCTTCGAGGCTGCCTCCTTCCACTCACGCTGGCAGCTCATACAATACGCCTGCCCCACAGCACMACAYGCCTGCCCCACAGCACCACACGCCTGCCCCATGTCCTGTGAGGCGCCCCAGTGGAAGCCCCACAGCGCTTGCCGAGGCTGCGCTCCAGGTTCCCAGCAAGCTGGGCAGGCAACCGAGCCATCCGTCTCCAAATTCTCTTTTTAGGGGTCCCTCCTCCTCCTGATCCAAGTACCACAGAGACGCTTCCTCCCAAAGAGCCCAGTGCAGGAGCACCAGCAGCAGAAACCCAACAGTGAAAACATCCCAGTAGGAGAGGAGGAGGAGGCAGCTCCTTAACAGGAATAGCGGAGAGTGGATGGACGGGCAGGGCAGGCGATAGAGCAGCGAGGAAGTGCCGGGGCATCCCAAGGTTACCGGGTGCAGGGCAGGAGGCAGGCAGCTTGCGCACGTTGCAGCTTGCACACATGCGTCTTCTCTTGCTATGTTTTACTTTAAAAAAGGGAAAACAATTACTATGTTTTAAAGGCAGCGGAAAAGGAGAGCAAGTGGCGTTTCCCTTGGCCTTTTGTGTACTGTTGYAAATGGACTAACACAACCCGTGAAAGCCGCTGCGGTGCCAACGTGCCACGGGACCGAGGGCTCCGCGCGGCCGCGAGGCACCGGGAAGCAGAGGCGCGGGAGCGCCCGCGCTTCCCAGCGGCTCCACGCAGGAGGAGCCCAACCGCGGAGCCCACCCGCGCGGCAGCGGCCGCGGAGTCGGGGCCGCCGTCCCGCTCCGGGCGCTGCCGGGACCGCCGGCACACAGGGCCAGCTCCGGGCCGCCCTTCCCGGCATCGGGCGCGGGGTTCCCAGAGGTGCCGCGGCCGCTCCGAAGGGCCGGCCTGGGCCGGCTCCSGCTGCCGCGGGCTGAGGGAGCGGGAACATCCACGTGGAGCTTCCTCAGGCTCCCGAGGCGCCGAATCCGCGCGCGCAGCGGGGCCGGGAGGATCCACTGGCGCCCTCCCTGCCCAGGCGCCGCTGCAGCGCTGCACGGGGCTTGCTTTTCCCCCGGCCGCCTCAGATTAAAACATCCTGGTTCCCCAATCCGGCTCGGAGCAGCGCGATTCCGCTCCCGGACGGGGAAGCCCAGGGGCACGGGCAGTAACTGCAGCACGAGGAGCGGGCTGCCCGAGTCGGTCACCAGAGAAGACGTGAATCTCCGTTCCGGGACCCGAGCGGAATCTGCCCCCTGAACTGCTGGGCTTCTGCTTGACAAGGCGGCCTCCTGGAAATGCTGCCTCCTTGTCCGGACCACATCCTGGCATTT